TGCAAATTAAGGAACTTTTTAGAACTTTCTAGAGTTTTGGGGGTTTCCAGAACCACGTAAGGTAACTTTTGGGACATTTGCATGGCGTGTTGCGTGGCACTTGGTCTTATTTGGGCGTTTGGTGTTACTTGTTTAGGTGGTTACTTTATGAGTACCCTTTACCCGCCGATTTGATAGCATGCTAGGCATAGCACACATCACATAAGCAAAGCAACCAAAACAAGACAGCTGGATCCAAGTTATTCACAAAATTGGGACCTCTCCACCTGGCTAGACTCGGTTTGCTCTAACAGGCATGGAAGACAGGGGAGGAGGGGAAGAGGATCCCAGAGCAGCAAACAAGGAAGACCCAGGGCGATCCTGGCTCACCCAGTACTGGCAGGGGAACGCACAGAAGGGGCATTTACCAGTCCACGGAGCCAAAATGGCACTGACTGGTCTCCCTGGCTTGGAGGGGTTCAGCCATCGGGAGCAGAGCAGCCAGCCAGCCACAGCAGTGGGTCTCACACAAGGTGGCACCGTGGCCGCCCACCCATCCACTCGGCTCTGCCACCTGTCAGGAAAGATGATGGCCCTCAAAAGAGCCTGTGGCCAGTGTCACGGGTCTGCAGTGTCACAAAGTTCCACGTCCCAGCTGCGGTGTTTGCAGCTTTGATGGCCGCAGTGCTGGACATTGTCTCTCACTAACCCGCCACCTTGCGTCATTTGCTGCCCTGCCAGTCACCGCCTCTCTGCCAGTCACCGCCTCTCTGCCAGTCACCACCTGTCTGCCTCCCACCATCTTCTCTTCATCCCCTTTGTGGTCACCATGGTGATGCAGGGCAGGTGAGCCCCAAAACTGGGGCTTGGCCCAGAAGGGTCCTTGACTTTACCCAGGAAAGTATGCAAGGGCAAGCCAGTGGTGGAAGAAGGCAGCTTTACTGAAGCGTCCATGTACAGAGAGTGGCAGGTCCTTGCAGAGCAAGGCCAGCAGGCAGTGCACACAGAGTAACCGCCAGTAGGGTGCTGGCAGCTGTATTTACCCACTTTTAATTACATGCAAACGAAGGAAGTTATTTATTTTTTATTTTTTGAGACCAAGTCTCGCTCTGTTGCCCAGGCTGGAGTGCAGTGGCATGATCTCGGCTCACCATAGCCTCCAGCTCCCCGGTTCAAGAGGTTTGCCTGGCCGGGCATGGTGGCTCAGGCCTGTAATCCCAGCACTTTGGGAGGCTAAGGTGGGCAGATCACCTGAGGTCAGGAGTTGGAGACCAGCCTGGCAGTGTCAGTAGGAAGCAGATAGGCATAAATGCTACATTAAAAAACAAGAATGTCCCAAATCAAATTAAAGAATCAGAAAGGAATAACATAAACCTGACGCTAGCAGAAATAGGAAAATAGTAAAAATTAGAACAAAAATAACAGAAAAGAAGAACAGAAAAACAGAGGATGAACAAAGCTGATTTTTTGAAAAGATCAACAAAATTGACAAACTTTTAGCTAGATGGACTAAGAAAAAGAAGAGAAGACTTGGCCGGGCGCGGTGGCTCAAGCCTGTAATCCCAGCACTTTGGGAGGCTGAGGCGGGTGGATCACGAGGTCA